TTATATAATTTATATAATTAATAAGGTAATATATTTATATTTATATAATTAATTAGGTATATAATTTATATATTTATATAATTAATTTATATAATTATTTATATAATTAATAAGGTAATAAAAATTTTAAATGATAATTTAAATGATTTAAATTTAAATGATAATTGTGTATATTATATTTAAATAAAAGTTTTTTTTAAAGTTAGGCTGAATAGTTTAGGAGTGGAAAAAAATGATCACCCAATAGAAAACATTCCTAAGCACACTCTCGTTTGAATACAATTCTTGGGGACTCTATGTATTTAACCTGAATTGCCAATGAAATTTTAGGGAAGAAATGGGGAAAAAGGAAGTTCTAGAATCTCTTCAGGAGAGAAGCCTCCAGGTTTATTTATCCACTTTGCTGTGGTCACTTTTAATGAATGATGTTTGGAGTATTTATTCTCTGAAGTTTTCAAAACCAAACCACCAGGTATTTGTTGGATACCATATATTGTATAAGAAACTGTGCTAGGCAATGTGAGGAGGTATAAGGACGGTACAGCACTGTTTCTCCCCAAACCAGAGATGAAACCTATGGTCTCTAGTCCTCTGAGTCATGAGAAGTTTGCAGATAAGTTTTGGGAGGATGATTAATGTTCAGAGATTGTTGGCAACATTTTGAGTGTGTATGATTTCATCATAGTTTTAAAGGAGTCCTAATCTTCCTCCATTCCCAACCACCATCATAACAAATGAAGAACCATTGCCAAAAGGTATGTAATCTAATGGGGAAATCCAGCTGGCAAGGCAATTTTGTGATCACTGTACAGCAAACAGTTGTAGTTAAATGGATTACCTCAGCTTAGTTGTTGTGTAAGATTACTAAGTGGAACTCCGGGTGAAATTCTGTGGGATTTAGTAGGTGACATTTTTCCTGGTACTGGCTTGATATTCTTATAAGGTCTTCCTTAAGCTATTAGGGTAAATTATAGTACTGGAAATGATACTTTTATGGTTAAAAAAAAAGTCAAACTAATTATTTGTCACTTTTAAAGTTCCCATACTATTTTATTTTCAAGATAGCAGATGTTTCTACATGATCCATTTTTGACTGTTGCTGCCCATTCATAAATAGCACTTAAGAATACCTGAATTTAGAAGGTCCCCAAAGCAGTGGATTGCTATAATTGACTATCCAGGAAAAGGTACCTAATTAGTATATTGAGCAAGAGTGTCACTTATAAACATGTTAGCACAATTTCCAAGATATACAGATGAATTTTAGCCGTGAACTACACTAATTTGTAGTACTCTAGAGGACTATGCAGTACTACATGTAGAATCTGTAGTACTATATAGTGCTATATGTATTTATACATCTTGAGTATTTGCATTTCTACAAGAACATAAATTTTATTGTTAGACAAAAAGATATATGAAATTCTCATTTAAAACAACAACCCTACTTTGTGGGTCAAGAAAGACCAATGAATCAAAATAACATTGTGGAGGATATAAGATTAGCTTTTCATATACTACCCACTTAGTAAATTGAGTTTAAATTCAGTCCTTAAAACAAGTATTGCACTGAGTTTAGGGACTTGTCTTTTATCATCATGTTCTGTCCATCTAAGTATAAATAATACTCTCTTTTCTTTTTATCAGAATTTACACTTCTTCCACTTACTATGGAGACATTTTTGGTTTTGTGTACTGCTTACAGGTCACTTTAACGTCAAACTGCAATAGTATTCTAAACAGGTCATTTTAGTTGGTTCTAATTTCAATAACATTCCTCTTGTCCAAAATAGAAGACTGTGGGTAGTTGGTAAACTGGCAATGGCTGTTTGCTAAGTCCAGGCTACAGTAGACTAGTTTCCTATTTGTTTTTATGCTGCCTGGTTTATTATGAAAAATCCTGGAGAAATTCCTTACCTCTTCTTCCTCCTCTTCTGAGCTGTCACCATTTCCATCTTCCTCAGATGAGTCACTACTGCTCTAAAAATATATATATATATATGTGTGTGAATTCATAAATATATGAATATCTGTGTACATATATATGTACACATACGTTCAACACCAAAGGAAATTTCCTGCTGATTGAATTAAGATAAAATATGTACAAATATTTACCCTAATTAGTATTACCATCTTGATTGATTTATTTACTTAGAACAGTTCTCATATAAATCTGGGAAAAAGATATAAGGAGATTGGGAATATATAAAATGAGGTTAGAAGAAGGCATTTTGTAGTGATCAAGATATGAAATGAGATACTCCATTTTCAACACCAAAAACATAGGAAATATGTTGAAACATTTTGTATGTAAAAAACTAGAGCAGTGAATCACAGAATTGCTTAACTCTGCAAGAACAAGAGGATTATCTGGTTCAATTTATTTTACAGAGAAGGAATCAAGCCCAGAGCAGCTGTGACTTCTCCAACCAGTTCAAGGCAAATGAACTAACACATAGATCATATTATTTTATTTTCTTTATAAAATATAAAATGATTAGGCTTATTGTGAAATAAAAGTTGTTACTGGATGATTCTTTTAAATAATGAGTTCCTGGGGCGCCTGGGTGGCTCAGTTGGTTAAGCAACTGCCTTCGGCTCAGGTCATGATCCTGGAGTCCTGGGATCAAGTCCTGCATCGGGCTCCCTGCTCGGCGGGGAGTCCACTTCTCCCTCTGACCCTCCCCCCTCTCATGCTCTCTCTCTCTCTCTATCTCATTCTCTCTCTCAAGTAAATAAATAAAATCTTAAAAAAAAAATAATGAGCTCTGGTGAATTTAAAATAGAATTTAACTTGAAATTAGATTTACATATAATTTTTAATATCTTTCAGTCTAATTAAGGCTACTTCATAAAATAAGCCTCTCTATATAAATGAGATTTTATATATATGAGGTAAAAATTATATAAGAGCGAAATTAATTCACTTACTCATTTAGGAGAGTTATAGAGTACCATCCCTCTAAAGAGTTCAATATTGAATGAAAATATATTAAACCGAGGAGTCTGTATATAAAAATATAAGTTAACAAGCTTTGCTACTTTTTAAAAGGAAATATAAGTCTAAACACTTGCTATCAGAGACTTTAAGACAGTAGAGGAGATTTTTCATCTTTCTCCCAATGATAAATTGAATTTTCCTTCTCTTTCTGCAACCACCCCTAATAGCACCAGGTAGATAAATGGATACCTGACTTAAGATGCTGTTATTTTCTGCCCTACAAATCTTAGCTTAGATTCTGATGACCTAGTTAAGTACTGTGGGTCTTAGAAAATAGAGCTTCAGAAGAATCTCAGGGTTAGAGATCAGATATGAGGAAACACTCATATTCCAGTCCTACTCAAGGTTGTCCCTGTAGGACTCATTCTTCAGTGGCCATGCCATCCACCCAAGAAAAGGGAATGCTTGTCCCCTTGAGCCAAGAATAACCTTGGGTGGAAAAGAGAATAATTAAACCTGCTCTTCCACTGCCATGACTTTAATGGTTGTGTTTTCCCTAGCCCAGAGGGTGAGTAAAGCATGGTATTACATGTAAACTATTTCTATTTGTTAGTAAATAGAGAGGACAGCATATTTTTGCAACGTCTTTTGTCTCAGTGGGAATGTTTGAATCTTTTTACAAGGTTCCTCACCCTTAGCTTTCTTGCTGTCCCAACCACATCACTCTTCAATTAGTGTCTGCCGTGAGAACAGTTTTAAAGCTTCATGAAATGCCCTAAAGCCTTGACATTTTCTTTTTTCCTTTCTTTCATTTATGCCAATTTGTAACTAAGACATATTATTCTTCCAGAAGTCAAATACACACACACGTATGTATATATGTTTTACCCCATTACTCCTTTCAACTTCTGTCACTCCCATTTATTCAATCCCAAAATATGTGTTTCAGGCATTGTTTTGAGAATGAGGCTGGTAGCAGGTGATGAAGTTGGAAACATGGACAGTTTCCCTGTGTCAAGCACCGTGATAGCTGAGATCAGTACAATAAAGGAAATATAAAGATTCTGCCCTCAAAGAATTCACATACAATTCAAATAACATATGATTCCTTAAAGAAGCAATTTCCTCAATTAAAAATGCTTAGGGTATTAAGCTTATTTATGCTTCCATTTCTATAGCCAAGCAGAGAGATAAGCTATAGGTAGACTGTTGATAGCTTTATAATTGATATGACATATTTCATGGAAGTTGGTATTTTAGAAATGATTATATGTAAGGGTGCCTGGGTGGCTCTGTCGGTTAAGTGGCTAATTCTTGATTTCCGCCTGGGTCATGATCTCAGGGTTATGGAATTGAGCCCCATGTTGGGCTCCATGTTCAGCAGGAATTTGCTTGAGGATTCTTTTTCTCCCTCTCCCCCTGCCCCTCCCCCGACTTGTGCGCACTTTCTCTAAAATAAATAGATAAATCTTAAAAAAAAAAAAGAAAAAAAGAAATGATTATATGTAAACACAGATTTGTTTGAATAAAACATAAATTTCAAAGCCAGTACAGCTTAATGAATTTTGGGGTGACAATCTGGGCACCAAATACTTGATAGATTTAAGAGAATAAATAATACAGAGCTATGGAAAATATATAAGTAGACATGTAAGGGAAAAAATTCTAGAAATCAAACTTTGTAAAGGAGGAGAATAGATCATCAATACTAGGTCAGACTGTTGGATTAGGGAGTATATTTTATTGGATATTTTTAAAATACTACTGTCTTACAAATTCTGCATTAGTTGAAATGAATTTGCATATAATTTCTCTAAATACTGTATATTAAAAATCTACTTAAAGATTTCTGAACTTTGAATTTATCAGTAAGAAAAATAGAACCTCTCCTAATATCTTTTCACTATGGATATTTTAATTGGATCACATTTATATATCTATAAAAATTTATAGATGGAAATATCTCTATGTGATATTTTTAAAAAATTGAGGAGCTAGCCAGAAATTTAAACTTATTATCATTTCCATTTAGCTTAAGAAAGAGAATGAAGCAAACATTCAAATGAGCACTGTTTATTTGTGGGGTCTGAGGTGTACCAAAGAATGGAAGACAATTCTGAAAACCCACAACTCTTGTATCATCTGTGCTCATATTTCTGTGGCCACACACATTCCCCATAATTATGGTGCTATAAATACTCTAAGATTATCATTTCCTATCATTGTATGAGTTAGAAATGGGTTGGCCCAACATATGGTAGGATGCTCTGCCAAGCCACTGTGCTGAGGCATCGTTTTCAGCATCTTGACTGCTTTTAGTGTCTCAGGAGTCCTGGGTCAAATGGTGCAAAAGTGGTGCCCTGAACCCAAACTGTATAGTAATAAAAATAGCACAATTCTGGTTTGTTGAATATTTTAAATCAACACCACACCCTCAAGTTTTCAAAGGCTTTCTTCACTGGTAACCTAGTAAAAACAGAAATTCTTATTTTTAGTGTTTGTTATTTTCCTTTTTGTTTACAAATTTCAAGGATGTTTTGTTTTTCTCACAAACACTCTCACAATTCACTTCGTGAATTTCTCTCTTTCCTCTATCATTCTTGAGCCACGCTTCTGTTATAGTGACCAACACAGGTCAGAGGTTCAGAAAATCTTCAGCAATCACCACTGATTATCAGGAATGTTTTTAAAAAAATGGTCTCTGCTGTTTATGAAGTCAGTTTTTCCCTTACCAATTAAAGGACTGTAAATTATCGGATGTTAACAGCTATATGACAGTTTTGACTCAACTATAAAATGACAGTTAGTGACCTTATCACTGACTTAATTGTCAACAACAGATAAAGTTGTCCATTTCGTCAATGCATTAGCCAAAATACCTGAACTCTCAAGGTGTTTGCTTTTATTATATCATTCTAGACTGGGCCCAAATGATGTGTATATCTCTGCTTTAAAAGAGAATTTAGGAATAAATTTTATTGTATTGTAGTAAAAATAAACTTTTTGTAGTAAGTAAGTCTTTCTGGTTGACTTTCAGTGAGAATTGAATTTAGGTGTTTTGTAGTTAAATTTGATTCCCTTTAAATTATAATGGGTGGGAAAGAAAATTAATTTTTATACTTACCTGAACTGGAAATCGTTTTAGAGGAGGATAAAAGTAGGCATGCTTGTAAAGAGAATATCGTGGCCGGTACTTAAAGACCTGCATAAGCAAAATAAATGATATATTCATGTTTAATGTGCAATAAATCTAAAGGAAGTATAGTCAGGCCAAGAAAGTACGTTAAGCATAATTACCCCATTTTCTTCAGAATCCTCTAATTTGGCTCTTCGATGCGTATTTTTCATCTGTTTGTAAGAACATTTAATTATTACATACTCTCTCTTTTACATGAAAAGACAAGGAAATAACTATAGGTTTTTAATATTGAACTTACTGAGAAAGCACAGGTCATTCCCAAAATGCTGAGCAAAATTAAAGCAGTCTTCATTTTGGTGATTGCTTCTGGAATTAATGAAGTGGTAAAGTTAATAAATATTAAAACCAGAAGTGTAACTTTTTTTTCTTTTTTAAGATTTTATCTATCTGACAGAGAGAGACACAGCGAGAGAGGGAACGCAAGCAGGGGAAATGGGAGAGGGAGAAGCAGGCCCCCCGCCAAGCAGGGAGCCTGACATGGGGCTCTATCCCAGGACCCTGGGATCATGACCTGAGCCGAAGGCACACACTTAACAAACTGAGCCACCCAGGCACCTGATAAAATCCTATTTTAATAGAGGTTGGATAAATTTAGCTAAAAGCCAACTAATACCCACCCATTTGCACTGACATATACGTTTAACTGAGAGTGACAGCTTTGGCAACATTTTAGAAGCAGTATGTAATGATGATGGCAATTTCCCCATAAACACACTTGGAAAAGTAATATTTAAAATTTATGTATGAAACCCATGTCATATACTGTATTCTGAAGTTTGATTTTACATTTTGTCATTAGCCACAATTTATTGCATCCTTATTGAGTATCTACCACTGAACATTACACAGAGTAAAATTTAAGGCCTGGAGAAGGTGTCTTGGGTCCTAAGTCACACTCTATTTGTGGCAGACTGGGTCTTTTGATTTTGATGCCTACACACTTCCTCACAGTTCTGTCTACTTCAGTAAAGGTTCTTAATGGCCACACAACGATAAAGAGGCTTTGCCCCTGAAGGGAGCCCGTCTGTCTAAGTTTTTATTGCTATTGGGGTGCTTAAAGTAATACTTTGAACTTTGTTACCCATGGTCAAGCTTCCCAGTAAACAGGAAGATTATTGCTCTGCAGCTTTATGAAAATAGTTGGAGTATTTATAATGTCTTAAAGAGCTAAAAACTTAAGTACAGGGAACTGTAGAAAGGGTTTTGATTACATAAATTTCTCATAGCAAACCATAAAAACAACTAGATGAAAACGTAGCAGGAATAATATAAAAAGAACCAAGTGATTCATGTAGGCAGCAATTGGCTGCCTACATAAATCTCATTTTATTTACTTTCTGATTCATAAAAAACAAAGACTCTATATTGACTACTACTAACCCAGATGACAATTCAAACATTCTTAAAGGATAGTTTTGAAAATCTAATTACAAGTTTTCATTGGGAAAAGTATGATAAACTAACATTATTTATTTCTTTAGTCCTATATATTTTTCCATACTGATTTTAGAGATACAGGATATCAACACTTTGAAACCGAACATGTTAAAAAGACATTATATATAATTCAAGTATAGATTAGGCATAATTTATGGTGAAATCTGCACTCCTTGGGCAGACTTACAAGTGAAAAATTACTTATCTTGAATACATCAGAATGAGGAAACAAACAGTTATTTGTGAGGTGGAGAGATAGAAAGTAGGACACAAAATTTTCTAGTTTATGTGCACAATATTAACTTATTTACATGCGTAGGTAAATAAGCTTAACCTTTTGGAAAGAATCTTAACTCTGAGGTACTAGTTTAATGATAAACAAGTATTAAATTACATAGCCATTCTATACAATTCAATAACATCAATGTTAAAATAAAAAATTCAAAGCAGGTCCAGAGATGTAAAATGTGGAGTGTTCAATTTTAAGAAAATGAAGTCATCATAGTAAATCTTACCCTTTTGCAGTTCTGGAGTGAGGAGACAGTCTCACAGGAGTGAGCGACACAGATTGAATATTTCCTCTGCTCTCTCACGCACTCATTTGCTTGCTGTGACTGGCTATAAACTCTTCTTTGCCTTCTAACAGCCAATCGCTGTCATGGGCAAGGTGATGTCAGAATGTGGATTCTCACCAGAAAACCCCCAAACTTCAACACTTTTTCAAGACACAGTCTCAGTTGAATAAACATGAAATGTGGTTCTAGTGCCAAGAGGTTTGCATTGTGGAATTTAATTGAAGGTTTAGATGAAGATGAATAGTTTGAGTTCTGAATATATATAATAGTATACTGGATTTGAATTAAAATAAGTAGCAAAAGATTTAACCATTTAAAAATTTTATAATTATACAGGTTTTCACTGTTTAAAGAAAAGGAAACTTTACTGTCATCAGATACAATCCTACATTATTTAATTTAGTAAAAAAAATAATAAAGGAAAGGAGCTGATGAACAGTTAATATTTTAATATCAATTATTTTATATTTTTCCTAAAATATGCTTCAGTAACTCATAAATTAAAATTGATATAATTAAAATGAACACCATCAATTTTGTTCAGATTACCAAACTTGAATTATTGAGCTTTCCACTGAACCAGGACAGTGGAGAGCCCATGTTCCAGGACATGAAGAGCCAAATATAAGAAAGATCTGGTCCCTGTCTAAAATTTTCACAGTTGTGTAGAGAGACAGAGTTACAGCTGTAGGGCACAGCAATGCAAATATCTACAAGGTTTAGAGATCAGAATCGGAATTTTCTAGGTTATTAATAAGGGAAAGGTTATCAAGAAAGAAGAGGGAAACATTCTTGGGAATAGATTTAAAGGATATAGAAATGAATGAACAACATAATGACACTGACACTTCCAATATTTGCTGAGTGCTCTCATGCTAGTTTTTTACTTGTGCTATTTCAGTCATCCTTCACACACACAGAAAATAATTCAGTGAGATTATTCCCATTCTACAAGTGAGGTAAGTGGGGCACAGAGATGGTAAGTATGTTCTGGGTTGCATGGATAGTAAATGGGGGAATATAGGGATCAAAGTCAAGTCTAATTCTAGAGTCTACTTTTAATCACTATATATCCTTGCTGGCCAATTCAGAAAGCTTCAATGATTCAATAAACTGGAATATAGTGAGTGGAAGTAATGAAGATGAGGGTGGTTGGATAGACAAAGGCCAGATGATGGGGACTGTAGGTTGTATTAATGAATATGGACTCCACCATGGAAATGAGAGAATATCAAAGGGTTAAGGCAGAAAAATAATATATTTAGAATTGTATCCTGGAAAAATCTTTTATTGACAAGATAGATCTGGGTTGAAAAAGGCAAGATAGTTATGGAGAAGGGGGGCTCCAAGAAGCTATTTTAGTGATTCAGGAAAGCAATGAGAAAGGTCTGAACTAAAGCAGTAGCTGTGGGGGGTAGAAAGGATAGAACAAATGAGAGAGATGTTAAATAGATAAAATTAATGGACTTGGTGAAAGTAAGAGAAGTGAAGAAACCCAGAGTGACTTCTGGATTTATGGCTTGTGTAATAAGTGGTGAGTGGTGGGACCATATCTCATATAATGCATAGCAGAGTAATTGGTATATTATAATCAATCAGCAAGATGTTAACAATATATGATATAGTGAAAGGAGTAGAAAATAGAATTAAAAGGCTGGGGTTTTGTTCTTGATTTTATCACTGTGTGAACTACTTGACAATGCTGAGGCTTCAGTTTAATCCATATTTTAAAAATAAGGGGGTTTTGTTTTGCCTGGGTGGCTCAGTCGGTTAAGTGTCTGCCTTCAGCTCAGGTCATGATCCCAGGGTCCTGGGATTGAGCCCCCCATTGGGCTCCCTGCTCAGTGGGGAGCCTGCTTCTACCTGTCGCTCTGCCCCTCCCCCGTGCTGGGTCAGCCTCCCTGCTCAGCGAGGAGTCTGCGTCTCCCTCTGCTCCTCCCCCTGCTCATACTCACTCGTGTGTGCTCACTCTCTCTCAAATAAATAAATAAAATCTTTAAAAAAAAATAAAAATAAGGGGGGTTTTGGATCAAAAAACAGCTAGCCATTGTGTGCCTCTATTGCCTGTGAAGCATTCTTGCCAAATAATTGGACTTGACTCTGATGAAGCCTATATATACCAGGTTAAAGAAAATGCAGGGTACAGAAGAATACATAAAATGACACAATTGGGATGCATTTAGCAAAATCTAGAATGTGGGAAACTTTACAGGACATATTACCTGGCTTCTGTTTTATTAGCAAGAAAAATTTAAAAAGAAGGAAGGGGAAACTATAGATGAAAAAGACTTCAGAGACATATCTAGAGAAATTATGAAACAATTGGAGAAATGTTGAATGCTGACCAAATATTTTATATATATATTTTTAAGATTTTATGTATTTATTTGACAGAGAAAGACACAGCGAGAGAGGGAACACAAGCAGGGGGAGTGGGAGAGGGAGAAGCAGGCTTCCCGCCAAGCAGGGAGCCCGATGTGGGGCTCAATCCCAGGACCCTGGGATCATGACCTGAGCCGAAGGCAGACGCTTAATGACTGAGCCACCCAGGCACCCCTGACCAAATATTTTATGGTATTAAGGAATTTTTATTAAATTTTTGGTGATGATTATTTGGAAATGATATTTTTTTTAGAAAAAATCTGCTAATTTCTATTGAATTCATATTCTTTTTTAATTGAAGTATAGTTGACACACAGTGTTACATTAATTTCAGGTGTACAGCATAGTGATTCAACAAGTCTACCTTATGCTGTCCTCACCACAAATGTAGCTACCACCTGCCAGCATACAATTCTATTATAGAACCATTGACTGTATTTCCTATGCTGTGCTTTTCATCCCTGTGACTTGTTCATTCCATAACTGGAAGCCTGTATCTCCATTGCCCTTCACCCATTTTATTAATCCTTCCACTCTCCTTCCCTCTGGCAGCCATCAGTTAGTTCTGTTTATGGGTCTGTTTCTGCTTTTTTTATTGTTAGTTGTTTTGTTGTTTAGTTTTCACATATAAACATGAGATCATATGACATATGTCTTTCTCTGTTGGACTTATTTCACTTAGTGTAATATCCTCTAGGTCCATCCATGTTGTCACAAATGGCAAGATCTCATTCTGTTTTACGCTGAGTAATATTCCATTGTGTGTATATACCACATCTTCTTTATCCATTCATTTATCAATGGACACAGGTTGTTTCTGTATCCTGGCTATTGTAAATAATGCTGCAATGAACGTAAGTGTGCATATGTCTTTTTAGATTAGTGTTTTTGTTTTCTG